AACATTGTGTTTGGAATTATACTTAATTATACGTTTAAAAACCAAGAAATTAGCACGTTCGTAGAGTAAACACTGGACATTATTTATGTAACATGTTTACATTTCAAATGATTTTGTGTACTAAAACTTTTCTTTTTACGTTTAAAAGCATAGTAATTTTCATTTACAGGATTAAATTTTGTATAGAAATTTGTCGAAATTTTAATTAATTATTATAATATATGTAAACAGCTAAACTTTTATATATTATATATATTATTACTTGGCTAATAAAATGAAAATATAACATTTGACACCAACTCTAGAAGAGTAAAGCTTAAATATGTGTATTCTAACAACACAGATATATTTAATATCCAGATTATAATCAAGTAACCATTATTGTGAACAATGGCATTTGAAGTTCTTAAACATACATTTATGTTTCATGCAAACCAACTAAGTAAATAGTTGAACAAAAATTCCACATGCACTCGTGCGCGCCGTCCTACATTGTATCCACCATCATAATAGTATAATACTATCAATGTTTGACATACAGGACATAGGTAAATGGTAAATGTTATGCTTTTATAATAATAACAAAAGTAAGAACCGATATTATCTATAAGAAATGTATTCCATAAAAAAACTCTCTCAGTCTTCACTCATAGGCCTCGTATCCCCAATATTGTGGTTCTCGTTCAACATTTGTTTCGTTTTAAATGACTGTTTATAACGCTTGTATAATACATTGATGATATAATTTATTTATGCAGAGGTTAGATTATCGTTGTTATCAATATTAGTTTTTACAATGTCTGTTAAATCGTTACTGTTTAACGCACGTGTGGTTATTAGTTTGTAACAATACCTACTTGCATAATATTATGTATTCATGTGTACTCTCACMAAATTGTTTAGTCTCTCTATATCGCCAATAACGTGTTTATAATGATGGCTAATAGTATAATCAGTAGTCATTGATACAACAGCCATTTAAATAATAATATTATACTATAATAGTATATAATATAGGATCATTCGGCGGTCAGCTAGACGAAACCTTTGTTTTTAGTGCGCGACCCTTAATGGTAAATAATCGTTAATAGACACGGATTCAAACTTCTGTATGTAACCGAGATACGTCACTGCTTATTAAACTATTATTTATTTCTAATTAATTGATTTGTTTAATTTTTATTATAGTAATATAATATACGTATAGTTATAATAATTTGTATTATGATTTATGGCCAAATATTTATTGTCGTTTAAAACAATACAATCCGTATTCTTAATTATCTTTATATATCGTTGGACAAATGGACAATAGACAGTGTACTGACTTCAGTTTCGATCGGTCGCCACTGATAAAAAACTAAATAAATATATATCAATGCTTAAGTACATATAATTATCATTATTGTGAAGTAATGACCTGTACTATATAAATATATATAATATACAATGTATATGTCATGACGTATATTTACAAAATACTATTAAGACGCGTTGTCGTTTATAATATTATCTGATATATTTTTTTTTTGTCAGTTATTTTAATGGATCGCAATCGTTTATACGTTAATATTATTATATACGTATATCGGAATGGTAGGTAAACAAACAAAACAAACCCATTAATTTTTTTCGAAATTTTTTTACTACGGTAAAACATACTGTCCAAAGTTTTTCAAATAGTATTAAGGAATTTATTATAAATCAATTTGTTTAAATTTTAGAATTTAGTTTTTAAAATTGAAAAACTTTAATAATTATAGGCTAAGCGGTAGCCAATCCTATCAGTATCCCATCCATATATTACTTCTATAATTTCTATATTTTTTTTTTCAATAAATAATTCTATGTTGAATGTTTATTATTATATGTTCTTTTATTTATGATATGTATATTTAATGTATTTAATAAAATTAAATGTGTGCATCTTAAATACTCATACCTAACTTGTTTTAAAATTAAAATATAAAAATAAAAACTAACGAGATTAACTAGATAATATTCTTAACTCTAAATTTGGTAATTGGTCAATTTCGTTCCAATATTATAATCATAACGGAGTTAAATGTAACGGGTTTGTAAGACGGGTGAGGCGTCCTCTTAAGGTCTTCTTAAAAAAGATAATAGTTACCTATTAATTTTCCTAATTTAAACAGACAAAAATAAAACTATTGGTTTTATTTTCAAAAACATTTTTTTTTACCTAATTCAGCCTTGACAATAATTAGTTACTGCAGATTTGATTTATTTTGAAACTATCAATATTTTATCTACATTTTTAGTTATGCGTTTAAAATTTAAGTAAGTGTATTCACTGATTGATAATGGCTTCAATAATTTATAATTGTACTCAAATTACTTTTTTCAGTGTAATARTTTGAAAGTTGTATTTGATAAATGTCAAACGTAAATTTAATCACAATTTAACTTCCTTGAGTACAAATAATACAAAATAATTTATGTACCTAACTACTACTTATAATTATATAAAAAAAAAATTAACAATTTTAGAGGTATACAACATGACGTTGTAGCAATACCTACCTACCTAAAATTTAAAATTTTAAATGTTCAATCTTAACTTTAAATATATTTATTTAGTGTAGTAGACATTTTAACCTAATTTGCTTTTAAGTTAAACGTATTATATGCATTTATGTACATTCAACTTATAATATATCAGTTGGTGAATTTATATAAATGTCGTTGACCTCAAAATGTTAACAGCACCGACTATAAATTCCAGTTTTTTTAGCATATTACATTTAAAGAAATTTTTCTTTAAGAAGAAAAAATTCAACCGTACTTGTGATCTACACTTGTAAGGTATTGTTGGTCATATAGTTAAGGAAGATACAATATACCTGTTTGCCTTTTAATTATATTTGAGAAGAGAATTTTCCATGTATCCATGCATTGATTTTCAACTTTTATATTAATACGTATGTTGTTTCTGAAGAAAATCTTTATTCATCAATTTATATATTTATATAGAGATATTATTCGAACWTCTTATTAGATTTATAGAATATAAAATAACTTTACGGCTTTATAAAAAAAAAGGTTTTATAATTATAATAATAAAGGTATTATAATTAAACTGATTTTTATACTGCGTTTTACATGGTTTTCTGTAGCCATCCGGTTGGTGTAAGTATAAAAAATGTTGTTAATCTAGTTTCTTTAAATGTATAATATGAAACATAGTTGCCGTAATCATAATTATTAAAAAAAAAATCTTAATATGATAAACCAATTTGTCTTTAACCCAGTAAATATAATAACTAAGAAGAACATAATAATTTACATTTCGCTCGATAAGTGTGTATCTGTGCGTGCGTGCGTGCGTGCGTGCATGCGTGTGTGTGTGTGTGTGTGTGTGTCGTAAAATAAGTATTTGTCAGTAAAAATAAGAAAAAAACACTCAAACATTTCCTCACGTTATTAAAATGTTTATGCACATTTAATGTCTTGCGGTGCATTTCAATTGAAGATGATGACTTAGTATGAGTGAGAGAACAGTGATGCAATGTGCAATGTCGTTTTAATATAATATAAGCAGCAAAAATAGAATACTATAAAAATCAACTCGACTGCGTTTTACGTATAAACCAAAATCGGACAGCCTATCATCCCCTCTTCCTCTCCCGCGCCGTACGGTGCAAGTATATAGTCTCATTCCAAGGCCAGTGTAAGCGATTCACTGCCAAATTCGGTTAATATATGTCGTATTTTGTATACATTATTCAGTCTTAACTGATTTAGAAACATATTATGCAGCCTGCAGGGTAGGTTTTGCTGTTCTATTGTTTCTTAGTTCTGGGAGATCTATTTTTTATCACATCAATTAGGTTCAAAAAACATACTAGCAATTCCCTGTGTCTATAAAAAAATAGACACTTTATATAAACCCCCCCCCTGCGTGTACTCCTTTAATTCTTTCAATACTTCTGTGTATACATTTTTGTTCGTTGCGCTTAAGGAAATTCCTAAACATTTTTAAAAATGATCACCTGTCACCACCCCTTCCACATTAAACTTGATTAATAATAAGGTTTTTAGCATACATACCTATAATCATCTAGTAAAAAATAATAATTTATTACGATAAAGTAAGTATATTGAAATTTTAAAATACATCAAAAAGAAAACGTTATTAATACGACAGTGTCAGCCTAAAGGTAGAAACAAGTTTTTTGCATATTTTTTTGTCCTATTGACCATTTTACGTATCAAAACCATTGTTAGCTCCTGTCCCAAAAAGTTTCCAAGACAATTTTAAGTTAAGGGAAGTGGTGATTTTTCTGTCTTTGTATTATATTCGTGGCAACATTAGATTTTAAACATGTTCTATTTCCAGCATATCGATTGATCTAGTGGATGCATTCTCAACATTTAAAATTCCTAGAAGTTCATTTTCGCAAAAAAACAGCTTTAGACAAAATCACTTTTGGTKTTACTAAAAAAAATAACCGTAGTCCGTGGATACTTGATTTTTTCGTCAAATTAATACATCAATTTTCCACACATCATAAAATATTAAAAATAAGTAGGCACAATTTATTTTATGTAACGAAATTCTAAATCATAAAAATTTAAAACGAAGGTTTCTGAAGTAGTTTCTACTGTTACCAAAAAAATCGATTTGTATTAGTGGGATAAATTACCTATCAATAATATCATTAAAATATTTGTTTGATTTAATGATATTAAATTGAGATCTATTATGATCATTAATTTATAGTTTTAACTTCATTAAAAGTTGAAAAAGAGAAGCTTTTAATTTTTTTTTTTATATATAACTTTTTCAGAATTATTTTGCTTCACTAAATTAATCTGTTTTTGAAATAGAACACATCTCTATTTCTACGTTGTGCGTGTGTTAGACAAAAACAGGGAATCACTGTTTCAAATCCCCTTAAAACTATAGAGTTTAAGAAAAAAAAATATTGTGCTATTAAATCGTAGATTAACTATAAACAATATATTTTTATTTTCAGTTCCAGTCGACAAAGTCGAAATCTGGCAGAAAAACAAAGACGAAACAAGTTAAATACTTGTATTACAGAACTTTCACAACTTGTACCACTGATATCAAATTCTTCTAAAAAAATAGAAAAAACAAGTGTTCTTAGACTCAGTGCTGCATATCTCCGACTAAATCGATGTAAGTCAACCGAATGAATATTGTATATTTTTTCAATTAAAAATATAATTAAATCAGTAAGTCGCAAGTTTTATTATTTATTGGAATTTATTATTTTTCAGTGTTAATAGGACTAAGAGAACAACGAGAGAAACTGCCAGCTTGCATAAATGGAGTTAACGTGGCTGATCTTCTGTTGGACGTATGTATCCTTATTAATAAATTCCTTATCTATATAGTACCTATAATTATATAACTACCTATGAGAGTATCTTGACTTTTTTTTAAGTTGTTATTCCTTATATGTATAAACAGTTATTACTTATATAATCTATACTTGCTACAACAATATATTTATACTAATAGAAATTAACCGAAAGAGCAAAATATAGTTTCTTCATATTATCAATGCTGCTATATTTAATGTGTATTTATTTTTAATGATGTTCATTATGCAGCATGCTGCATGCTGTGACAAAAGTTCGTTTTCTAAAAACCTAACATAATGTTGTTTTGTATTATGCCGAGAAGAAAGTCCTATAATATGCCTCTAGAATTTTAGATGTTATGGTTATATCATGTACCTATACTGCTCAAGTCATTTTATTATTACGATTTACATGTCATTGGCAGTTAACTCTAAACATTTTCCATGTATACCCAATTAATAACCAACGAAAAAACGCAAAGAAAAAAATCTGCAAGACATCTTTCTGGTTATTATTTATTAGTTACTTACCTACCTATAACAAATCATTAGAGTTACTTTAAATATTGTATTTTCATATTTTATTATATAATTTATATAATTTCTCTCAAAATCAATGTTAATATTATTGTTATGATTTTTGTTCACAGGATAACGATGTATACCTCATGGTCACATCTGGTGGAAAAATTGTATTTGTTTCGCACTCCGTGGAGAATATATTAGGCTATTCACAGGTAATTTATTTTTTCCATAGGTATACAATTAATTAAAATTTTGTTTTAAATGTTGATTCTATTATAATTTATTAGAATCCAGCTTAATGCCTTTATTTTTTATTGATTTTTACATTGCATTTTCTTTGAAAAAAAGTCACATGGTTCGGTTCTTACACAGTTCTTAACAAAACTGTATACCGTAGACCCTTAAATAATTATTCAAATCGATTGAAATGTATTTATTGACTTAAAAGTTAAGACATTGATTCGCACTTCATCCATAAATTAATTTATGTTAACAAACGATGTTTCAAATTGATTAATTGAAAATCAAGTTGCGCTCTATAAAATATATTTGTGATTTTCAAACTAATAATATATCTATAATACTAATAAAATACACTAAAAAGCAATAATGCGTTTATTAAGTTGCATCTATTGATATACGTTTTACGTCGAGTATTTTTATTTTTTTTTTTWAATTAAAACACTGGTAAGAATCCAGAGTCTGTTCGAATAAATTGATTCTATACCGAATATCTCTAATTATTTACATTTAAAATTAATAAATGATATATTTGTTTCTGCTGGAATTTACATTACCTATGTATGCATATTTATTTACGGAGTCATATAAGGTATTTATGTGAGAACAATTTCGAATGCCTCAAACTTTACTAATTACATTGGTACACTAAAAGTTGCATATCATTATTTATTGTCGTTTTACGTAGCTACTGCTATATAAATCACTTACGATATAAAATAAATACATTTGTAAGTATATTTATTGACAACAACACAAACATATTATTTACGCACGTTCATAATTAATACTTAATTAAATTACTATACTAACCTTGTATGTAGATATTTATTTGTATTTAAATTTACTTACTGTACTGTAATTCCTAATCAATTTCTCCACTTTTAATTTATATTTGAAAATGTGAATAATTTTAGTATTATACAAAGTGATGGGCTATAATATATTTCACTATATTGTAGTATGCACTTACTGCAACGTATTAGATTTACAAATGTTAGAAAACTAATAATGGTATTMCGGCCAAAGTTTATACAACATACATATATTGTGTAATTGTGTATCCTTTTTTTTTAACAGAAAAAAACTAGGACTTGGTGGGAACTGTTTAGCACAATATTGCCACCTGGCTACCATGTATAGGTATTATGTATCTATATGTATATCACTGTACATAGCAGTGCCTTTTCCTCTTCTTCTCATCGAGGTGTGTATAGAATCGATAAAAAAAATATGATGGCTAGTATCAGCCTTAAGACTACCTACGATGTATGGATGTCTATGTGTTATATTGTTATATATTAAATTATTTGATAGAAATGACGCACAATGGATGTCGTTTACCTCTGTAGTTTTAACAGATTGCTCCTACTTTGTTTGAAAGAAAATGCATAGCGCATACATAATAATAATATTATTGTTATTGTAGTGATGCGTTTTTTATCGTCTGATCCGTTGTTTTATTAGATGTTGCACCGCGCTCAGACTTAGATAGAGGCAACTGTTGTGTTCTTTCACCATCACCGCACACACGTATATGTTGTGTCGTCAGAGTGTTACCGGCTTTTGCGCAGTACGCAGTCGCATCGGACTAGGTTTATTTTTATTTTTTATTTTCCCGTCTCTCTCTCTCACACGCGTATTTATTCGCACGCTAAACTTAAGTGCGTTCTAACTGTCCATTGTATTTGCTGCCATTGCGAAAGTTTACAATAATAATAATTACTATCATTATCGATTCCGATTTATCATTGGTTCCCGATGGTCAAACGACTTTTTTTTATTTGGTCTTTATAATTTTCAATCCACTTTAAAGTTTAAGTAGTCCCCGATAATTCATCGGATATATTTTAATTCACTATAATATGTTATGTATTATTGTATATTATTGCCCCAGCGCCGATTGCATGTTATTGTTGTTTAATCATTCTACAGTAGAATACATATAATATTTTGTATTTTATTAAAATTTTTCTATTACCTTGATTTTAAATCGTGGAAGCAATGCAATAGCACTATTGATTTCCCCTCTCACCCACTTCCTCAACACGCACAACCATCATATTATGCACCGGCCAAGGACACAGGTCTTTTAATATTATTATTATTTTCGTTACCCGAACGATAAACACACTTATATACATGGGTTACTTGCACTGCATCCATTTTGAGTTTTAACCTTATTATTATTATTTCTACATATTATATAATGTATTACGTATCCTTGAAAATTGCATTCAACCACTAGTATTTAATTACAAATTTATCACAAAGCCCATCGTTGTTGTATTAAATTATAACATTTATTCGTAAATAATTATGAAACCACGGAAGGGTTTTTGAGTTGAAATGCACCCGAGCTCATTATAATGTTTATACCGCTGCTGCAGTTCTACAATTACTTAGTCTTATGTATGCACATTAAATCAAGGTCGACCGACCATTATTTTTCTTCTTTGCTTCGTGCTTTGAATTCACAATACAGACGTATATAGTGCTTTTTAATATTATATTACGGTTTTCTTATTTTTAGATTTTAATTGATCGTGTGTGGGACTAGTTGGCTCATTCATTGTGGATACAAATCTATATTTTTCATTTATATCGTAAACTATCGTGCATTTGCAAATTTTGTTGTAAAGGAGTAATTATATGTCCGAGATTTTTCGGTTTCTGTTGAATATATACATTTTGTATTTATTTATTCATTTAACACAGAGTATTATTAATAAATCAATTTAGCTATGCATCGATAGTATTAGAKCACTCGGAACAGTCGAAGATATTCCCAAATATTTGAATTTTATCTATATACTTTTAAACCAAATCTAATTTTTAAATGTTACATAGCAGCAATTTAAAGATAATTTTTAGTATTTTTTAAATAATATTTCATTTTTATTTATCATGTATATATTCTATGTGTTATTTGCTCTACGCTTTCTATTGTGTTGTGAAATGGTCTCTTACTGATCAAGATATTTATAAAAGTAAAATATGAATTTTAACCTTACTAGTCCTGGCTGCTCTCAGCTCTCATCCCGATTCAATCAAAATATTAATCAATTTCATCATCCCCCAAAAACTATTTGAACRAATTGTGATACTAACTTGTATATTTCAAACTATAATATAGGTACTTGGTACTTATGCACTTTRTGTTTATTATAACATTATTGTTTTTTTCATTGACTTATTAATTATTTAATCATTATATATAAAACTGTTAAACTCCTTGATCCAATGACCTATGATATTATTTGCTAATTTTTTTTTTTTTTAAATACCTTACTAAAACTGCATTTTAATATTCTGACTGGCGTTTTTTTCTTTTTTTAGTTTTCAATCATTTTTATCGATTTTTATGATATTGATTTAAATTAATTTGATGTTTTAGTGATAAATCGGTCTATTGTTGACAAATAAAACCTTTTTTTCCTTCTCTTATTCACTGCAGATTTGGAATGATATCCGCATACCAACCGTATCATCTGTCGCAAAACAATACCATATAGGTAGTTAAAAAGCAAAGTTGTTTTCATTTTATATTTCAAAAGTTCTCTGCTATTAGGCTTGACTTATCGCATGTCTTTGATCTTATAGTTAATTTCCAAACCTCATATTAATCATATTTAAACGATCGCTGTTGATCACCAACTTTGGTGTTGAAATGTTCCCTATTACTCAATAAACTCAAGTGTCCGCTAAGTGTTATCTCATCTTTCCTTTTTCTTTCCGGTATAGACACTTCTGACTCCCGAACAACAAATGTCACCTCATATTTAATTAGTATAGAAGACACTAACATCAAATCCATAAAGAAATTAAACAGATTACTTATTTGACCTTTTTGTACAAGATAACGAGATACAAACTTTTATACTTTAAATGTTGAATTAAACTTTAAACAATCTAAACTAGTTTCATTATTAATTTTAATATACTAATTATTAATATGTATGTTACATCAATGGTATCGGAACTAAAATATTTCCTTCGTTGAAGATAAAACATTACAGTTAAGAATGTTGTATGTTCGATTGTATGTATGGTTATTATTCATTGTATTCTCCTGCACTTTTTAATTTATGAAAAAATTATGTATGTAATGATAACTGCTGTTATGCAGAAAATAAATTTAATCTTTGACTCGTTATGATAAACACCGCGTAATTAGAGAAAATGTAAAGAATTTAAACCATTGATAAAATTATTATAATGTATCTATTTATAGGCGATTCTCACATTTCAAAGAACAGACAATGTCAACACGTTATATTTCACGTGTAAAATAAATATGATTATTAGATAAATAMATTATAGGTAGTGTATTTTTCATTGCTACCAGTTTTCTGTATAATAATATAACCTTTGGGGGATTGAAGACTAAAAACTGACAATATTGAACTTCAGTTGATGGCATTGAATGTGGATAATTTGTATATGTCACCCACACTTGGGATGTTTCTATTAAAATCTAAAAATTGACTTACTTATTACCATATTCGACATAGTATTATTATGTGTAATGTGTATACTGTATATCATAAAAATAAAATATCATAACATGTTAAATTTTATTTGTAGATCGATCTCATGGGCCAATCACTTTTTAACTTTGCCCATCCTAAGGATCACGATGAGCTAAAAAAGAACCTCAAGTATCAAGACGAAAAATCAAACAGCGGCATCGGTAAGACTATATTCGTTTACTAAATTGGAGTAATATATCGTTTTTAGATAATATGTAAATCGTAAATGTATGATTTTATCAGCATAATGCATTTTATTCATGTGTAATAATACTATTGCATTATAACATAGTATGATATATTGATAGCTTTGGCCATTCGGTATTTCTCTATAATAATTACAATTACTGTGCATGGATTTGTTCGTGACCGGTTTTTTTTTTTTTTTTTATTATTACCAACATCTTTAAAAACCCGTTTAATAGTTAAAATAAGCTTAGACATAATATTATATTATGTCTATAGTTATTACTTATAAGTTATAAGACTCTGAGTCAAGCGACGAATGTATTTATGAGTGAAACGAGAAATGTATATTAATATTGGTGTTGCAACAATGTCGGTTATTTTGTCTGTTCAATATCTTTTTCCGTGGCGACAGCGCTGAGATATTCCTGTGAACCATTTTTTTTTTTTTTTTTTTAGTGGGGGGAATATTAATTACCTCACTTTAAAATAGTTGATAATGTCCCAATGGCGTTAATAAACTGATAAGTTATAGCTTAAAATCATACTAATTATTCAAATAAATATATTATTAGGTATTGAAAACATATTATACAGTTGCAAAAGACTAAATAGCGTCTTGGTGGWGGCCGATGGGGGGAAGAGGCAGGGGGAAGGCAATGTYCATACATTTGTCACTGAAATAGTGTTTCACTAAATTAAAATCAAGAGTATTTTGCAGARGTCGTTTTTGTATGTACTAGATTTATTCTCAATAATTTCTCAAAGATTACCTTATATTTGATTTCCTGTTTGGTTGTGTAAAACTTTCAAGTTTATTTATAATTCAACATTTAGTCAGTTTGCACTTTGAATTTTGATTACTATTTATTGGGTATTAAAAAGAATTTGGTTAGTGTAGTTTTTGTTAGGTGAAGAAATTGGTGTCTTAATCTGATTAGTGGTTACATGTTGAATGCATTGAACTATATGATAACTGGAATGCTCACCAAGCAGTGTTGCCCGAAACGGAATGTTAGAACGAGATGGGACATACTAATGGTGTTACTATCTTTGTCTTACACGTTGCGCTAATATCTTAAATTAATTTACCACGGTCCGCGATATTATTTTAGACTTTAGTTTGGTTCTTAAAATTTGGTATCTTTATATTTTATTTTTTAACTTCCACA